AGAAGTCATTAATCAAGTTTGTCGAACTTTGATAAAGCGAAAAAAGCAATTTAATTACTTTTTATCATTACTCATGAAGAGAAATTTTATTGCAGTCATTAAGACTTCAAGTAAAGCTTAATTATTAATCGAAAAAAAATCTTTGATTGAATTAAAATCTCAACTTAATTAAAATCTTGAAAAGCTGTGACTGTAAATAAATAACTGACCGAGCCGAACTGCATCACACTTTTCAATTGACTGAAGAACTTTTTTTTTTATTTCTTAGGTAGGTGGACGAGCTCACAGCTCACCTGGTGTTAGGTGGTTACTGGAGCCCATAGACATCTACTACATAAATGCGCCACCCACCTTGAGATATAAGTTCTAAGTATAGCTACAACGGCTGCCCCGCCCTTCAAACCGAAACGCATTACTGCTTCACGGCAGAAATAGGCAGGGCGGTGGTACCTACTCGCGCGGACTCACAAGTGGTCCTACCACCTGTAATAGCTGAGAACTTGCATTATTAGTAACACTAGTTTTAAACGAAATATGTACTTTAAACTATTATTGAATGAATGAATGTTCCAATTATTAATGTTTTTTCAATTAAAAAAAATATTATTTAATTAAATATTAAATTGAGAAAGAAATTTCTGCTATTGTATTTAGAGCAGATCAAGTAAAATGTGTAATTTTTCTTGTTCTGATTAATTTTGCCCGCGCTTAAAATAGCCCGCCATATTCGTTTGTAAAAAAGAAAACCATTATCTGGAACAATATTCATCTGAGACTTCAAACTCGCAAGTTTTCTCGTTAAAATATAATTTATGGGATTATTCTTTTAAGGAAGAGGGGTCTTTCCTACCAGATATGGTTCGTAAACTTTCTTGAATCTCAATAGGATTCGTGTAGTTTCCCCCTCGGGGTCGACGACCTATTTATGTTTTGTCTAGTTGGGAAACGGGAGCTGATTCGACGGTGTCTTATATCACCACGTGGGCCCCTCGTGATAAGCGTACAATGTCCGGATTGAAAATAATCCAGAGACATTTATGTTTGTGAATGGTTATCAATGTAAAAAGTGTTTCTTTTGGTTTTGACATTATTGAATTATATTACATCAATAATTTAAATTGAAATTTACACTATGGATACTTTTTTCTTTATTTCTTAGATGGGTGGACGAGCTCACAGCCCACCTGGTGTTAAGTGGCTACTGGAGCCCATAGACATCTACAACGTAAATGCGCCACCCACCTTGAGATATAAGTTCTAAGGTCTCAAGTATAGTTACAACGGCTGCCCCACCTTTCAAACCGAAACGCATTACTGCTTCACGGCAGAAATAGGCAGGGTGGTGGTACCCACCCGCGCGGACTCACAAGAGGTCCTACCACCAGTAAATGTAAAGTACCACCAGTCCGTGATCAAAAAAGATAAAGTTTATTATCCATTATTCGTCGATCGTGATTGATAATTATCCGTCGAAACTTGAAGCTTGTGCTCACTAATGTCTAATTATCCAACTATTTTTTATTTCTTTTTGTTATCACTTGTTGTAAATATTTCAATAAAAGTTTCGATTGCTTTTATTTTTTTACAAATTTATAGCGCTATTTAAGCTCGCGTCCCTATTCCTGTCTCCAAGTAGACAAATTAAAATAAATTAATTTCAATATTTTTGAACATACAAATTTATTATATTCCACTGAGTCCAAGATCACTGAACGCTTTACTTTTTTATTGCTATGAAATCCAGATTTCCATTTATAAGTCAATCGCAATTTTGGTCTATAACAACATCGACGTCTTGCCGGTCTATGGCGTAAAATGATTAATTTCCACTATTACCGAACAACGTTTGTTGTAAGAAATATTACAATAGCTTGGAATAACAATCCACGTACCATCGATAAGTACAATATTTTTTTTTGTGCATGTGGCCGATCCTCATGCGATGCTTCTGCGCCTGGGCGACTTTTTTTTATTGCCTTTATAGGCAGACGAGCATACGGCCCACCTGATGGTAAGTGGTCACCGTTGCTCATGGACGTCATCAATGCCAGGGGCAGAGCCAAGCCGCTATCTAAGCGACTTGCGGGGTATGTGGCGCTTTACGGTCTACAAATGTTCAGAGCAAGCCGCGGGTCCAAGGATGTTTTACGACCCTACCTACCAAACGACTCCCCTTACACTCTCTCATCCGACGTTCGATCTCCACCCGGGCCTGCAGAATTACGGAGCACTATGTTCATTCACGTCATTATGTTCTTCTTCAAATCTATATATTAATACGTGAAGCAAAAACTTTGTATCCCTTTTTACGAAAATTGCGCGGACTGAGGAGTATAAAATTTTCTACACTTATAGAGATTATAGAGAATAAGTGCACAATGCTAATATTTTTTTTAAATAATGCATAAAAGATACATTAAATCAATAAAGAAAACATTACACACACTACATACCATGTATTTGACGCACACACGCATGCATACTATTTATTGTCAAACTTTTGTTCCTGACGTCTGTGGTCAAATTGAGAATAGATTAAATATTGTTTGTCTTTATTAATAATTTTTTTTAGTGTAGCCTTGGCGAAATTTGTGATTATAGAAGTATAAAATACAATCATAATAGTGTACAAACTTACAATTCCAATTAATTATAGTCGAATTTCGGCTACTGCGGGACCTCTAGTAAGGTTTAAAAGAGGCCTAAGCTGTGAGTCATAGCTTAGAAAAGCATGCCACAGCAATTGCCGCGAAATGAGCGACAGTGAACATTTTTTGTTGAATTTACTACGAGTTAATTACGCCTGGCTAAATATATTGCAATCAAAGGACATTTAAAACTGGTGGGAAACTTGATAAGTTTATGCGTGGTAGGGCGTATTCTAAGCTTGTATTGATAGTTACCGCTGTAGATTCCGGTTCGAAGTGTGAGAATACCGGCATATAATATCTAACTTATGTTTCAAATTCTCAGTTAAGTATTTAAGCCTAGGTGGGCCGTGAGTACGTCCAACAATCTATACAAGATAAAATAAACTTACCAGTAATAAAATTAATGTGGTTTTTATTTAAGAACTACAATGCATCCACAATAAAAGCTACTATTTTATTATCGGCTGAAGTCAAAAACAACGTTTTAAGGGTAACGTAACGTAACGTAATAAATAAATAAATAAATAAATAAATAAATATTTACTAACAATCACGCCACGTTAACTGGTCCCGTGATAAGTTCGTAAAGAACTTGTGTTACAGGTACCAGATAACGGATATAAATGTAGGATTTTTATTATACACATACATATATTTAATATACATCCATAACCCTGGAAAAGACATTTATATTTATCATACAAATACCTTCCCTTGGCGGGATTCCAACCCGCGACCCCCTTGTGTAGTGACCATGTCACTTACCACTACACCAGACGGCCGTTAAAGAAGAATATTTAAAGAAAATTTGAAGATATTGAAGAAATAATCGTGTAATTAATTTTACTTAAATCGGAACCTTGCCAAATCATTAATTACATAACGACTATCAAACATATTATTATGTATATCCCTTAGGGATTTCTGAAACCCCGGCATGATCTAACTAATGCTCATTACAGCATCTAAAGTTTCACTTGAAAATATATAGTGCTGTGACTGTAACAACTGCACGACTCANAAGATATTGAAGAAATAATCGTGTAATTAATTTTACTTAAATCGGAACCTTGCCAAATCATTAATTACATAACGACTATCAAACATATTATTATGTATATCCCTTAGGGATTTCTGAAACCCCGGCATGATCTAACTAATGCTCATTACAGCATCTAAAGTTTCACTTGAAAATATATAGTGCTGTGACTGTAACAACTGCACGACTCATTATGTAAAAACAAATTTAGTTCCTCAATACTTTTAGACATGATTTTTCAATTATCAGAATAAAAAATAAATCGGAATTCTGTGAATTACATAATTCAATTATTTCAAGATTATATTCAATGAAGCGGTCATTCTTGTCACAAGTAACAACAGCCCAATAAATATAACTGCGTGCTCTGTATTTGCCGCCGTACCTCATAATGTTTCCTAAATTGTTTCGCATGTACAATGTACTATCCAAATTTATAATGTATATCGTTTTGGAACATTCAAAGATTTGCGAGATTACTGCAAAATTTAATAGAAACAAAATTAAACTGTGAACAAATTTATCTAAGGTCAAGATCTTGTAAAGGCTCAGATAATAGCATTTAAAATTCACTAATAATAATTATAACAATTTTTAAGAAAAAACATTTTTGTAAAATTCTCCGAAATGGCTTAATTACTTTAATAATTTATCATTAATCACATTAATCATTAAAGCGATGAACATAAGCGAAACCTTTCGAAAGTTTTACAACATTTCTTGATAATTTTTGCAAAATCCTAAAGTATTCAGTTTCAATATTTTTGTCTAATTTACCAATAATATTGCCATTACTACATGTGTCCAGTAGTTTTATGCACAATATCTCATAAAATCTTATTAACGTTGACAAAACTAATACCTATGTATGTAAGAGTCGAGACTTAAATTTCCAAACAAAAATTGAATAAAATCGACAAGCTATGTATTTTATTTTGAACAATATTTATTTCTTTACTATCGAGCCAAGTATTGCTCATAAAACCTGCTGTTGGTTTTGTAGGAAAATCCGACACGGTGTACCTATTAAATATGCATACTTTTTTGTGCCTTATTTACTGGATGTTTTAGATTTAACTAACGGAAAGTTTCTTTGTTCGGAATGCAGATAAACTGCTGCAATTACATTGAACCAAGTAACAACTTTTTTAAAGTAATTTATATTAAAATGAAACAAATGCGAAATGTCGATTTACGCTTCATAGCAACTGTCTACAGTATTCACAAATAAAAAGCATAAAAATGATTACGAATGCAACATCAAAAACCATAACTAGATTAAAATTACAAAAAAAAAACCAGTACTTTACCTTGTGGAGTTAGCACAAATACAATCACGTGAACAATAAAAACTAAATTGCACATCATTTTAATTATCTGAAACTCCTTGTTGCACACTAAACACAATTCAACACTGCAATTTTGAGCACACACGTAACTTATACAAATCTACATGTCGTAGCTCCGTAGCGGCATAATTTCGTAGCTCGCTGATCGCCGCGTCGTAGCACCGGCTCTGACGTGCGTTTGGTAGCCGTCTACGAGCAGACTGACGCTACCTAGAGTTAGATGAACGAGGTTACTCATTTGTTTGTTCTTTTCAGAGCGGATCTACACGGCGTATCCATAGATACAGAGCCCCTTTTCAGACGTAGAACAGGGTTAAACGTCTCATATTCAAAGCCATTTGAATGTACCAGTGATGTTGCGCCTTCTTTTCTCAGGAACGCGTAGTATAACAGCTCATTTTAACGGCTAACACGAAAACCTGTTACAAGGTTAATTTCTTTTTAATTTTGAAACTTCAATTACGTACATTATTTATATACATATAAATCATAGTATTTCGTATATTTTACTGTTAAAAAAAATTATAAAAAATTTTACGTTACGATTTTCAAGCTTAGCGGCATTTCTGTACAAATTTACTTCAACATTACATATAACATTTTTAAACATTTTTGTGATTATTTTTTATTGTCTTTCAAGGCAGATATGTGTATATAGCCTACCTCATAGTGTGGTCACCATCTTTTGTGGACCTCAGCTTAGCGACTCCTTATCATTGAAGAGTCCTCTGAAACCTCGTTTGGAAAGAGTAATGTGGATTGCGATACCACTCCAATTAAAGCTGTATGCAATTCCTAAATAATCTGAATAAGTAACAGAAAATTAGACACACCTAAATATATTGCATTAGTAGTGGATACAAAAAATTCTCACTAGTATAAAACCGAAAAGTCCACATTTAAACTAAAACTTTGAATGTGTTCGATAGAAAATTGGCGAGCGAAAATAAATTCCAAATGTTCAAACTGGAAGCAGCTATCCAATTTAATGCGGTTTTAATCAGCTTTGTTGATTCTATTTATTAATGATACGCGGTATGGTCTAAGTATAGTAAGTGGTCAAGGTTGTAATAATTTATTTTATTTATTTATTTGGGAAACAAACAGTACAATACAAACATATATATATATATATTTTTTAAATAGCTAAAACAATAACCAAATATGTATCCACAATCAAAATCACATATATGTAGAAATTGAACAAAGAGGAGAAATTTAGATATTTAAGCTACAAAAAACAAAAGCAACACAATACCCACATATTATTTTGTACATCAACTTAAACTATAAGACTATAATAATCATGGGACTACACAAATTACATACTAATCGTGGATTTGAAAACCAGTGTCTCCGTCCAAGTTGTTTTTATTACATTTCTAAGCTGACGAGCTTACGACACACCCGATTGCGAGTAGGTAGCGTCGTTCATGGCCGTCAGCAACGTCAGAGGCAGAGATAATCTGATTACCACTGACTACTCTACGCAAATCTCTTTTGAAGAACGACATGTCACCGCGCCAAGGAAATAGTCATGATAAAAGTTTATTCCAAAGCCGGATGGCAAGTAGCAAAAAAGATCTCTGGAAACGCACTGTGGATGACGTGTTCTAGGTAGTATGGATGAAACCTGGTCCAGAGTTGGTTGAAATTGCATTTAAAAAAAATCTCTGTATCTGCTCATAAAATAAATTCCAATAGCCACCATTAAACCTACTATTTGATGAGTAAGCTATCATAGCTACAAGATGTAACGCCTATAATCTTCTTCTGAGTCGGTCTCTTCATTTCTGAAGGTCGTGTTTAGTTTTAAATGTTGACCACTCGATCCACTATGCTTCTCCGCGTCTTCCTGTCTTCGGCGGTCTTTATAGCCTCGGTTATTGGCAAGCTGGTGAGCATCTTTACTAGATCAGACCAGCGGGTAGGTGAGCGTCCGCGTGATCTTCTCCCGTCAACCTGACCAACTACCATCAGCTTCTCTGAGTTATCAAAGTCTACAAGCGATGTGTCCATGAAATTCCCAACATCTGCCTCCAATACCACATTTCAAAAGCGTCGACCATCTGCCCTGTCACTTCGTCTTATCCTCCAGGATTCGGCGCAATAAAGGAATTGAGAAAACCAATGTACGTACCAGCCTCACTTTGATTTTGCGGGATATATTGCGGTCTTGCCTATAATACTGTAATATAATAAATGTGGCAACGACCTATTGTAATACTAAGAAATACCACTATATATTTTCCGGGGTGAGCTCATGTATGAGTGAGACTCGCCTTTTGTGTATACCGTTTGAATGGTTCCTTTTTGTGAAATGTTTTCTATTGTGTACAATAAACAATAAAATTTAATTAGCGAGATGTCATACCACTGTATAAACACAAACAAACATAGTTAATTCGTCGTGTTAATCTGTGGTTCCAAAAAGGTAATCTGGTCTAGAGCGTAGTTTTAAGTATCCCTGAGCCACGATGAGAATAAAGCCATTCGTATGGAGATATGGAATACTAGTGTCAAATTTATTCTCAATCGGCTATCCTTCGTACTTAAGCGCATGACTTGATAGAAATTGACCTTAGCCGACCGCGACGTGGCAACGCAAAGCCGCTGTCGCCCGAAAGATTTCTTGTCGTATCCCCCGGAATTTACTCTCAGTGCGTTTAGGACCCTCAAGCACTGATTACAGTCCTCGAACCATAGACATTCCACTGAGTTTCTCGCCGGATCTTCTCGATGGGTCGCGATTCCCATCCGGTGGTAGATTCTGCGAAGCACTGCTCTTACTAGAACTAGTGTTAGCAAATTATCTCAAGTTGAGCCCGTGAGCTCACCTACACGACAAGGAGAAGCAGAAATAGCTTCTTAAGGCTATCAGCGAAAAGGTAGGCGAAAAAAAAGATAGAAATGGACAGGATGATGGTGGATTACAGAGTCAGTACTCAATTTTTAAAATTATTCGGCTTATTCCTTCTGCCTAAAAATTATTGGTGAATCCTTAAAGGTGAAGCTTTAAAATTTGAAAGTGGCGTTTTAACAGCGCGACGCATATTTTTTTCAAATTTAATTTTAAGACAGAAGCCCGTTTTTTAATTAAGTTTTTCATCTTTATTGTTATTTTTCTTATTATTTGCACATATCCTATAGATCCGGAATATTGTTCTGCTAGCATTTCAAACATAATCAATTTGAGCTTTTTATTGCTACACAGATCTTTTTGCGAAAATAGATCCATAAAAATAGAAGTGCTATTCTTAGACAGTCTCAGAAATCGTTCAATACTAACGTGTTAATTAATCAACCCTTTTGAGTACATACAGAACCCCATTACTGCATGGTCGACAGGAAATTATATCTTCGAAGATCGTTAGTCACGTACGAACCCTTTTCGTTATTCAATACAATACAGATATAATCGAATTTAATACTTTCATAATCGAATATTTCAGAGAAAGATTTCCGGCTCTCGGTTTTAGAATGAAATTGAAATGTTGAAGCGCAGTGGCAATTAATTACTAGTGATTGAAATTTGTAATTCTGTGTATGCTATACTAATGTTCAGTTTGTTTTAAATTTATACGGAACTAGCTTTTGCCCGCGACTCCGTCCGCATGGAATACTTACTTTGGCATAACGCTAAATTGTACCCGCCTGCCTCATCATTTACGTAGAAAGTGAAAATATTTTTGAATAATAGAATGTTAAGGAGATATTTAAGGTCAGCAGAAGCGTGAACACGATCCACTACTAATTGATTAATTTACTAAACATAGCACAATAAACAAAATCATTAGACATGACTTTTAGGGTAGGAACTAAGGAAGTTCATTGAAGGGTTGGAAGTCATTTTATTGCATATCTACTTTCATAGTATATCATATTATTTCATAATAATATGTAATAAAAATCAAACCCGCAAAATTATAATTTGCGTAATTACTGGTGGTAGGACCTCTTGTGAGTCCGCGCGGGTAGATACCACCATCCTGCTTATTTCTGCCGTGAAACAGTAATGCGTTTCGGTTTGAAGGGTGGGGCAGCCGTTGTAACTATACCTGAGACCTTAGAACTTGTCTCAAGGTGGGTGGCGCATTTACGTTGTAGATGTCTATGGGCTCCAGTAACTACTTAACACCAGGTGGGCTGTGAGCTCGTCCACCTATTTAAGGAATAAAAAAAACCAAAATCACGCTTTTTAACCGACTTCAAAAGAGGAAGTTCTCAATTCGACCATAATTTTTTATCTATGTATGTTCACCGATTTCTCGAGAATGCTTGAACCGATTCTGATAATTCTTTTTTTTTTTTGTTCGAAAGAGTAGACTTCCCGAATGGTCCTGTAATCATCAAGATCTGATTATGAGATCCTGGAGAAATCCAGAAAAATCTATAATTGTCAAAGCCTATCTTGAAGTGATTTATGTATTTTAATGTTGTAATGAATAATGTATTTATTTGGATAGGGATTAATATCATATTTATAAAAACACCTTCACAAATAATGCTTTATTTCAGAACAAATTTGGTTAGTAAAAAAAAAAATTTTTGGGAGCCAACCTTAACATACAAACATATGTTGCCGCGGACTTTTTTTTAGATCTTTTAAAGGGGAACAATTTTGTCACGCATTATTTTAGCGAAACTTTAACCGTTTCCGCAGCGCACACAGCGGAAGCTCTCAAAAGGGAAAAACCTCGATTTTAAAACATTATTTATTGGTGCTCCGCTTATATCGGTCTTAGCGTGATGTTATATAATCTTTCTCAATAAATGAGATATCTAACACTGAAAGAATTTTTCAAATCGGACCAGTAGTTCTTGAGATTAGCGCGTTCAAACAAACAAACAAATTCTTCAGCTTTATAATATTAAGTATAGACTAATATTATAAAGCTGAAGAGTTTGTTTGTTTGTTGCAGAATATTAGTATAGGCTAATATTATAAAGCTGAAGAGTTTGTTTGTTTATTTGTTGCAGAATATTAGTATAGACTAATATTATAAAGCTGAAG